GGGGGGCCATTTTTGGGGCCAACGCGCGTCTGCGCTAGGCGCGGCTGCGCTTTGCAAGGAGTAAGAGCTCAGTAGGTAGATATGATAGAGTGATCCAATAATAAAAACGCGTTAATATTACGCGTTTTTTATTTGTCTTGAAAAGGTTGGTGATGGGATGCTTAGAGTAGCTAAGCGATCCAAGGATTTCACATGTAGAGGGTCACGTGATATATGCAGGGCGACATGGTCGTTGTCGACCTTGACGCCCAGGGCGACAAAGTCGTTGTCAACTTTGTGACTTAAGGAGAACGAAGGATCTATATAAGACTGGCACGTCTGCCATTAGATAGGAGCTTNACATGTAGAGGGTCACGTGATATATGCAGGGCGACATGGTCGTTGTCGACCTTGACGCCCAGGGCGACAAAGTCGTTGTCAACTTTGTGACTTAAGGAGAACGAAGGATCTATATAAGACTGGCACGTCTGCCATTAGATAGGAGCTTCGTGCTCAACTTAGTTATCAATCTTATCATATTAGTTTGACATCTTTGATACAAGTAACGAGTTCACTTCCAAGTGAACAACCCGATAGTCTTCTTCTTATCATAGCATACCAACCAGCGAACACCCAGCCAAGTTTAGTTAGCCAGTTTGAGTATTCGTTACAAGCAGAGCTATAAGTGGATCAAATCAGGAAGTGGAGCAAAAGAGAAAGTAGACCCAGCACAACATATAATAATATTTCTTAAACTAACTAGAATAAAAGAGAAAGGGAAGGGTTTCTTTAAAAACGATATAATTATAAGCTTATAAATATAATTATATTTTCTTAACTTTACGAAGTATAAAAGCGATAGAAATCTATACTAGATGTAGGGATAACCGTAACTTTATAAGTACTATCTTACTTTGTAAACTTCGTAGAATAACGAAGAGATTTAAATCTTTCCTAAAAGTAAATACGATCGTAAGTTCGTAAAAATAATTCTATTTTTTAACCCTTGTGAAATAAAACAGAGTAAGATCTTCCCTTGAGAAGTTACTGCGATCATAAGTTACAGTTCTGGTTTTGTACAGGTTACCTTACAACTCACTCCTGAAACAATTCTAGTCTTGCTGTTGTGTCATGTTGTAGTGCAGTAATCACGTGGTTGTCTTGCGCACAGGACGAAACCCAAAATGGGGATGGCCTCTCCCCTTTACCTTAGCCGACGCCTAGCCGAACGGCTAGCCGAAAAGTAAACAACAAACTCTTATCAGAAAGCTATTCTAGCGTTTTCTACAGCTTTCGCGCATAGCAAGTGTCTAGACGTATAGTTAAACATGCGCAGTAAGAAAAACAATGGTTTGGGTGAAAATAGCATCGAGAACTGCCTAGTTATAGCAAAAAGCAATCAAATCCTACTGTTCATTGCCAAGTTTCACAATATTTCTAGCTTATCTTTAGCTTATCTCTTGAGAGAAGATTATTGCGTCAGATTAAGACAAAATGCGGGCCAAGAAACGTCAGCAGCAGAGGAAAGCGCGCAAGTGGAGCAGAGCAGCCTGGCGACTTGCGAAAAAGCGAGTAACTTTTCTTTCTGTCCACTTCAAAATATCAAAGCAGAGGAGCTCTTTTTTTATGAAGCGAATAGATAATATGGGAATACTTGAACCCCAAGTACTATAAGCAATGCGTTGAGTAATCGTGAAGCATTGTAATGCCAGGAGGCTATTAGTAGACTGGTCAGGTGGACAATAGGTTTGAGGGGGAAATGAGTCAATTTACACTAGCGTGGGTAGCAAGAGTGGGTCCTCTCTCGTAGCAATATTTCAAGGTCGTCGCGACACTTCTCAACTTCAGCAACAACCACCACAAACACAACCACAACAGCCTGTCTGTTTCGTTCTTCCGCACCACAACTCCTCATAAAATACGATTTCCGCCACCATGCCCCGCATCAAGTATGCGATCTGCATCAAAATAAGCAAATTGTACTAACAAACAATACAGAAATAACTTCATGGAGGCGATCTACGCTGCCAGATCGAGGGGGAAGAGATGGGTGAAGCGGCACGACCTTGAATATCGCGACCCCACCACCACCCCCGCACGCAGAAAGGAGATCCTGATGCATGTCATGGAGAATCTCGAGGCCCAGACGTAAGTAACTATATCCAGCATGTTATTATTTATCTAACCTCTTTCAGACACACCGAATACCGTCCCCGTCCCCGCCGCCGCCTTCCTGCCGCCCCTGTTGCCCCGGCTGCCTCTGTTGCTCCTGTTACCTCTGCTGCCCCGGCTCCAGCTCCTGCCCCCAGACCTCTCCGCCGCAGCCCCCGCTTTGCCTAAAGAAATAACTCCCAGATGGTTGGTTGGGCCGGTAAGTTTGAGCCTCCATGATCCTGATAACGCGTTCTAATGAATTGATCACTGACCGACTGGTAATTCTTTAGGGTGAGCGGTCCAACCGACCGTCTGGGAGTGCTTCTTGTGACCACCGGTCTACTCTCTCTCGCTCCTCGCTCCCCGCGCCTCTCTCCTCTCGCCTTTGGTTGTTCTTGGTGGTCATGATTCGGAGAGGAAGACACCTCTACAAAAACAATTCTGTATCTACGGTCTTGCGGTCTGCTGTTCTGGTGTTTGCTCTGCTCTTCTCTGGCTGCCCCTTCGTGGGTTTGAAATGAAAATCTTGAGCCACTTGACCTTTTGTGCCTTCAATGTGACTTTCTCCATGACTTACTGCTACTCTCTCACGCCAATGCAACTTCGTAAAGCTGTAACAGTAAATAAGAATTCATATAGTTTTGATTACTTCTACAAGTAATTCTAATTGAATGGCCGTGTGTTTCCCATGTGGAGCCAATGGATTCCTTATCTTCTCCCGCCAGCCGGTCAGAAAACACAAATCTACTTTCTTTTTTGTTGTGAAATGACAGAACATTCTCGGCTATAATATTAGTTCCTGGAGTTTAGTGAGCATTGGAAAACTGAAAGTAGTATCGGGTTCACCAGACCGGTCCTATGGAGAAGTGGGGCTACAGCATTTCGTGCTAGCACACACGATCTACGGGCTGATTGTTACTGAATGAAACGACCTATTTCCCAGTCAACCTTCCAATACTCGCAGCTGTGTAATCTTTCAAATCTGCTTACCTCAGGATTTAAGTTGTATATTCCATCTCTGAGTGGGGGTTAGAGCTATGCCAGAACACACAAGCGCAGTGGGAAGATCTACGGGCAAGTATTGTAGGCACAAGGACCCCCCGAAGCAGTGGCAATCACAACGCCATTCCCCTTCAGTGTCATCCTTGGCGGTCCAGCTTTCAAGTCGAACTCCCCAAAGTTCATGCCAGCGGATAGTGTAACATCTGGTACAACACCACTAGATACAACGAATGTGGCCGAAGAGTCCACGATGATTGCCCAAGTAATCTTATCCTTAGCAGCCTCATAATCATCAGGCTTTGTTGCACCTGGACAATTGGCTCCAGACAGAACCTTCTTGTACCAAATGGCACCTGTGAAGGGACTTGTGGTTCCGGGAGGCAATGTCATTTGAGATATATCCTTAGCTCCTTGCTTGAAAGCTACGATGAAGGAGTGTATGAGTGGTTGCCATCCTTTATGATTGCCTTTCGTGCTTGATGCGTAAAGGGCAGGCTCTGCGTCCGAGTTCTGCTCGGGCCAGAGGTTACCGATGTAGTGACTCTGTTCAAGGGGTTAGCACTTGTTTATAAACAGAATACCTATAAAAAACCTCTGGTCCATCGTTCCACGTGATAACTTGGATGAAGCCGGGTCCATTTGGCATTGCGAGTGTTTCTTTCATACGTTGAACGAGGTTAAGTCCTCCTACGGGTGGTCAGACTGCTTTGCGGGGAGCGTTCGATCGGCTTGACATACCTTCACGATACACATTTGTATTGTATGCATTTTTGTATTGTAATGTGCTCATAGGCATTATGTATCTGTTGATTTTTAGTTTGTGACAATATATTAGACGGCGTGCAATTGAAGATTAGTAATCCAGGCTTTCTCTCAGGAATGAATGTTCTTACGTCTTGCCGTGAGATAATGTTCCAGGGTTTCCATCTATACCCTCAATGACTTTTTTATCCCACTAAATAGGAGACAATCAGCAATCTGCCAGGAAGCTAATTAGTAATCCATTTACCTCGGTGTCGCCAGGATAATTTCCACCAAAACCCCCTCGTATCGGCCAAGCACTCTCCCAAGCAGTCACTCCATCAATGACAGGTCCCCAATAATCCCACCACGCGGGGTGAGACGTATTAAAACTACAACAGTTACAGTCAGCAGGGTTTCATAAGCTCAGTATTTACACAAGAGGAAACTTACCCTTGTGTATGATCCAAATCAGGAACAAAATACACGCCTGTACTAGAAAGAGTCTGCCGCCAACCATTGAAAGATGGGCCATCCATTCCGCCGTCCGAAAATGTTGTAACGAAAGGTTTACCGTTGGGACCGAGATAATATGAAGGCCGAGTAATGAAGTCCCTGAACGTATCGCCGTAGTCGAAAGCGTTGACTGGGGTCCCATCTGCGTGTTTCTGCTGACCGGCAGCATACAAATCCATACTGATGAATAATCTAAAGTTTCCTCCATTTGATTTGAGGGTATCGGCGTGATCGAATAAGCGAACTAAGCTGGTAAAGACGAAAGGGGCTTGGGGGAATCCACTAGAAATTGTTAATAAAAGCTTGGACAAGCTGGTACCTGCTTACATGTTGATTGAGAAAGCATCAAATCCCATGGCGATTGCATCTTCGATGTCTTTCTCAGCATGGTCCTGGTCAATGCTTCCCAACTATGGAAAAGTATGTCAGTGTAATGTCGTGTTGCACGAAGAAATACTTTTACCATATAATGTGCGAAGACAGCCTTTGCGTCTACCAGTCGAATTGCAAACACACTTGCAACCGCAACAACTAAGTACGAAAATGAATGCATGATTATTTTCGCAAGAATTTCAAGTCGAATTATAGTTGTACAATCGTTGTCTTGAACAAAATTGAGAGAAAATTCAGATAAATATATACACTTTCCATCCAAAATCTGTTTAAGGAAGTCTTTTCGCAATACCACGTCAATACCTGAACAGGAATAAGGTCAGCATTTCAGTAAGAGCTAGATCTGGAAGTGATCGTAAGCCCCACCTGCCGAGGTCGTTCTAGAAAGGTTTGGGGCGCAGTTCTATCGCTTCCTCCTTTGAAAGAAAAAATATGAATTGGTGAAAATCTGTAAGCTGACTCAGATAAAAGCATCCATCATCTCTTCATGTTGTTAAGAGCATGTAAACAGTTCTACTTTCAAGTTGGTCCCGAAGTGTGATTCTGCTGGGGAGTTTTTAGTTTAAAACAGCAGCAGTTGTTTGAGACCTCCAAATGTACCATGGTTTATTAAGAGGCCATTGAAGGTCGTTTTTCGCAAGTAATCCTAATTCTTTTGAAGCGTCAGCCGGTCCGTGCAATCATCCATCTATATCATTAATATCTATTTTTTCTATCGAAAGGCGTGATGTACGAGCACCAGCGACCGGAAGGAACATTATAGTAATGCGGGAGATTACAACACTACAAGGGGTACGTACCGTACTGTACCAACCCCTCCTCCGGCCCCCAACACGATACTAAGCCCCCTTCAAAATCCACCTTCCCAACTAAGTGAGACGAAATTTGAAATGTATTTCCGGCAAAAATCGCCCATGCGAGAGATTGAAGAGAGCGTGACGGATGTAGTGGAGTATAGTTGTAGATGGCTTCGAGGTTGAATTGATGGGAGTGCGGTGTTATGGTGGGGATCAAGGAATAGATTGTTCGCAAGGAGGGAAGAGAGACGCTCTTCGCACTCCTTAGGTATTTGTCTATCTACGGAAGGGTACACCCGCAACTTCGCTAAGCGAACCCTTATTCACTAAATTAAAAACTGTCACAATTTGATAGCTTGGTATTGCCAAGGTGTCAGAATAGGCGATATTTATACATTAAAATAATTCTACGCGAGGGTGTTCAATCCTGGTCAGAGTTTACGCCAGTCCGTCTAGGAGATAATGGCTCGTTAAGTTTATCCTACCTGAGCTCTGTGACTTGGGAGAGCATCCAGACCGTCTTGTACCCTACAACAGCCCTATCAAAAGAGTTCTTGATATCCGAATCCAAACTTACAATATCACTTCTCCTATTTACCATACTAAGACATCTACAGCCGGAAAGGAAAACCGCTATGATTTATTCACTATACTTCAGGTAAAAGTTGAGAAGAGTATAATACTGCCACCTATCCCCCGACCCTCCAATTACCCAACGCCAAATAACCTGCTTCAGTAAATCGAGAATGAAAACATATGACTTTGTCTACGTATACCAATTTTGATATGCAGTTTAGCAGACTAACACATGGATTTTTTGCGTGCCACCTAATGCCCAAAATCTCACATTATAAACACAGCACATTAAACACCTACCTTACTCGATTTCCCCCTCCCCTTTCCCATGACGATATCAAGAACCAACAAGCTGGATTTTGAAGCAAAGCACCGTTCGGCAACCTCACCTGCCGAGCCAGCTACCTCATAGCTAAAAGAACTCCCCTCGGGAAGCGAGATAGCAGAGGAAAGCTACGTACCTTATAATAAATTCATGTACATGAAGACATATTTCTTCACCGAACAAGTTTTTAACATAACCTAGAGGACTGCAAATATATCTCCCATTTCCGTAATTATCCACTCTTGCGTAATCTCTCGAATGTAGACATGACATCGAACTAACCACTCTCAAAGCTATCCCAAGAAAGCCCTCAAGCTCTCTATCAACCTCTAACCAAAGTCCCTCATGACCCAAAGTAAGCACAAAATAGCGACGTCGGGTCCCGGTGAAATTTATTATTCACGTACAGCACGCTTTTCACAATCACGCTATTCAATAAACCCACAATCATGGTAGTGAAATTGATACAAATCCTAGCGGCTACCCCGTGACCCCTGGATATGTGAAAGAAATCCACGTATCCTTATCCACTAGTAGCGCATCCCCCCTCGGGCCTCGGCGCTGCCCCCAACGGCGGCTTGAGAAAATAATGTCAATACTTGTACAGGCCCTTCACTTAATTAGCAGGATTCTTTTTTTGCGCGTTGAGATTCTTTTGTGCAGTTTTGTACCATTTTTTATAGTTAATATTATGTGGCTTAACGGGGCACTTTCAGCTTTACACTTCAATAATTTGACCTTAGGCTTAGAGTTGGAAAGCAAAAAGGTTGCTGGCTCACTTACCTAGAACTATGTGTTAAACTGGAAGTAGCATTATTCGCATAAACCCCTTGTTTTTCGCTAAGTAAGTGAAGGGGCTATATTAGCCATCATTCACGCAGTCTCATTTGACGAAACTGCGCCGCCTCCCGCAAAAACACTAACCACTTCTAACCAAATAAAGTTCTAAAAAAAACTTCAGATGAACCACCTTCACTATGGAAGGACTCGTGAATAAGAAGAGATCTTTTCAGCTAGCAAGAGAACTTTTCACGATAGCGCGATTCTCCAAGTAACACAGCCCCTTCGCTAGCGCAGCAGGGAGTTTCGCAATCCTAGCAGTTGAGGGAAGAAAGGATTCACGCACGAGATACGATCGTGAGAGATCTGAGAGACCTGGCTACTGCTGTGCTATGTCGACTATCGCACCAATCACTTGCAACTGCCCAAGAAAGAAAGACAAAAACAAAACAAAACAAGAATAAAAGGGGATTCACGAACCATGATTGATCATCTGCCAAAAAAGAAGAAAGGGGAGGGGAGAGAACAGCGAATAGAGCAAAGATAACTTAGATTCACTACCACTAACTAATCCAAATCAGACCCATCAAAAGGTATCAACAAGTCCTCCATCTCTCATATCATCATTTCAGACATCAGGAAATGGGTAAAAAAGGGTGTCCCGTAGTAATCCCAAAAAGGAGAGAGAATCCATCCATGCAAAAGTTTATCACCAATCACCCATCATAAAATCATCAAATCATTAAAAACCCCCCCTTTCCCAATCCCCCAAGTCAAAAAAAACGCCTAAAAGCTCGCTGACTAACCCATGAACATGCACCTCTATACCCTTCAGAAATTCAACAAGTTTTGAAAAATGCAGAAGGAGAAGATAGAGGATTTCAAGAAATCCCGCAAGAGGAAAAGGCCAAGAAGGAGAATTAGAAGACGGTGAAACCCTCGCCAGGCTCAAAGTACTCCTCGCCCTCGGCCTCGCGCTTGGACTTGCTGGCTGGGTCGAAGTATGGACGCTCGCCGATGCCAACGCAGCGTTGACCGGTGCGGAGGCCCAAGGTGTCGTAGTCGTAGGTGGCAGCGTGGTAGGTGGAGCGGTTGTCCCAGATGGCTAGAGTATAATATGTCAGTTGTGATTCACTTAAGCGAAGAGGTGGTGGTTAGGATGATGGGATAAGAGGGTAAGGGGAAAGCGTAAGCGAGGGAGTCAAAAGACTTACCAAGATCATTCTGGTTGTTCCACTTGAAGCGACATTGCAAGTCGTGGTTCTCGGTGATCATGCGCAAGAACTCGTTCAACAAGTGGGAGCTTTCACGCTCGGTCAAGCCATTGATTTGTTCAACGTGGTGGCCGACGGCGAATACCGTCTTCCAACCAGTAACTGGGTTGGTGCGGATGACGGGGTGTTCAGTAGAGAGCTCGGTGCCGACGTTGAGCGGGTTGCCGCGGGCCTCAGAGTAGAGCTTGAATTTCTGGTCACGAGCTGCGTTGGTGAAGAGTGGTTGGGCGTAGGTTGCTGTAAGACCATCGAGAAACTTTTGGTAGGCTGGGGAGAATCGGTCGTAGACTTCATATCCCGAGGCCCAGAGGGTATCTGTGAAATTATTAGCGAAGTTCTTAAAATAGCCACGTGGATGATTACTTACCACCACCAAGAGTTGGGATGTCAGTAAGCTTCAAGATGGCATAATCGGATGGGACAGGCTCAAAGGTAATATCAGAGTGCCATCCCTTCTTGAGAGATTGCTTCTTCTTATGTTGCTCAGTCTTGCGGTCACAGAAGATCTTAGTAGCGAGATCATTGCTGATGACGGAGATTTCATCATCCTTGTTGCATTGGAATGACTTGTTGGAGATGGGGTGGATATGCATGGAGGACTCGGCAGGCTTGCCAGTGAGTTCACCAAGCTTTTGGCAGAGTTTCTTTTGAAGGTCGTTGTCAAGGTCAGCTTGACCACGGAAGAAGACAACACCACGTTGAGAGACTATTAAGCATGTTAGTATGTATGTAATTTGAGGCATAATAAATAAGCCAGGTCGGTGGTTACTTACCGGTGACGGCAAGATCACGAATCAACTCATCAGCGTTGTCTGCCTTGAGCCACTCAGCAAGGTTGGCATTGGGGAACTCCTTTCCAATAACTGGAGTGATATCAAAGGATTCAAACTTGTCAAGAGCACCAGTAAGTTGCATAGGAGTCTTGATGAGCTTGGCTGGTGCAGTTGATTGAGAGACAACCTCCTGGGCCTTGACCTTCAATTCATGGATGCAGCTGGTTTGGTAAACATCAACAGCGGAAGGAGCCATGGTGTGTGTTGTATGTAGAGGTCTATCTTTGAGGTGTATGAGTCTCATTGGAGTATCAAACTCTAATGTAAGTATCAAATTCGAGAGAGAACAATTGATGTCAGAAGTGCGTCGATGAACTTGAAAGTTCAGTGTTTAGTTTGGCAAAGGAGGAGGGGAAGGGAGGAATATATAGACCAAAGAATAACATTAGCGTCTTCTGGCTGTTAGCTTGTCCACGAGACTTCGATAATCGGCCGGGAGTACTTGCCAAAAGAAATCCATTCCTTGCTGCGTGAATGTAACTCTACCGGGGTTCTAAGGAGCCAGCCGGGTTTCGAAGCCAATATTTCTACTGGTTGACGTTACTCAAGTAAAAAGCTATTGCTAACAACCAACCCCGCTTAACATCGGACCATGGACCATTTCATGGCTTCATTCAAACTCAAGTCGGCAATGACTTTGGCCAAAGCTGGAAGCCACCAATGATCGAAAAGTCATTGATTCACTTGCAATGAGTTTGGAAATTATTCATTTTCCAAGGCTGTAAGCATCCATTCTTCGAAAAGAAAAGAAAGCTACAAAAAAAACTCCTCGGTGCGTGGGCACAACGCCACAAACTCCACGTAAGTTTCCAAAACTATGGCACCTAATCACAGCCGCGCATTTTTATGGAGACTATTACTTCAGGACATCATTTGAACCTAAAGTCGAGTGGAATTATGCACGTAAAGATTTCTAATCAACATTGCGTCGCCACGTTGCTCCCCCATTGAGCAGATGCTGGTTTGCTAGACGTGCCAAATAAGGAAAACTGAAGTGCTTGGCATGATCAACCCTCAATCGTACTCGAGACTGGGCATCGATACTTGCACGAATTGGCTGGCATCAGAATAATGGTCTCATATAGGCTATTCAAACATCATTATAGCTCTAATGCTCGCTCGATGTAACATGACGTGAGGGGTCTTGACGCCAGCAAAGCGATTGTCTATTGTCCATACACAGATTTCAGACAGCGCAAGAAATGGTTCATGCAAGACAAACGAAAACCTTCTGTGCTTTTGTGGATAGAAGGTAACGTCAAGAAGACCAAGTCCAGTACGGATTAGAGAGACATTATAGCTAGGGCCATAATTTGGGACTTTGCCGTGTGCTTTTTGAGTGCCGGGATTGGCGCATTGTATACCTCAAAAAAGCAGCGGAGATAGCAACTCGATTCCACTTTGAAATGCAAGCCCCTCAGCTGGCATCCCTACACCGCCGATAAACCAATAGAGGCGACAAGATACAGGTGAGAGACCCATAGTAGCCTCAGCTATGGGACATTGTAGCTAGGTCGAATGCCGGGCACCATGGTGTTGGGACAAGAAAGAGAAAGATATAAGGAGGAAGGCATCATTGTCGTCAAAAGAAACATTTGAAGAGCCGCATACAGCCAGGTGATACTAAAACGAAAGCTGCGCTGTAACGCGGCAGCGAGATTTCGGATTCTGGCTACTCGTTCAGAGTGACTCCCGTCTGGAGGACCCTTGAGTACACACCAAACCCACTTATTCACTTACCAGACCACTGGAGAATATACTTCTAAATTGTATACGAAATATAACGGGGCCGCGTGAATCATGGTACCATCGCCCCAAACTATCGGGATGGCAGATGGACATGGCGGGAAGGGTCCTGCGAGGTTTGGAGGGTTGGGACCACTGCATGAGAACCCATGTCCCGCCCTTCGGGCATTCGACACAGAGCAACATCGCTAAGAATGGTTGATGCTATCTCCAATGAGGCAAACTGGGGATGGTGTGGTCAACTGTTCAAGTATGAGGCATCATTGGCATGCGATGAATGGAGGATACGGCTCGACGGCCATGTTGGAAAGTGCGGATTGGGACACGATGAGCGGGGCTGTTCCTTATAGAGGCAATATGGCACCAATCCTCCTCGGCGGTCAGTGTGCGATGTGCGATGCACGATGTGCGCATACATGAAGTCGCAACGGACTACGGTACTGGTACCTATTCGTGTTGGTGTAGTTGAAGAAATGGCGGGACAAGCCGTCGTCGGGTGTTGAGGTGAAAGCGTGGACGGGTTACTCGTCCAGAAGTGCCCGAAGTGGTTAAGAGTCGTTTTCTGTGGTATGGTGTGTTGGTGATGCGCTGGACGAAGTGTAGAAGTCAAATATACTATTCGTTGGTGTTGAGGAGTAGTGGGGTGGAGAAAGCGGAACTGAGGGAGAGAGGGGAGGTCGAAATGAACCAGGATTGCAGCTACCCCTGTCGTCGGTCAGCCTCCAGTGCAGCCTTGAGTACCCGAGTAGCCTTGGACCCCACTGCATACCGATGCGTACGATGCGTACGATGCCTCCAACACGATGCATCTCTGATCTGATCTGATATGACGACCGACAACAACACAGCTGTCTCTTGATCCAAGAACCTGAATCCTCTGGACCCTTTCGCCACAAAACCTACATCCATTTGCTCACATTCCGTCACCTCCATCTGCCATGTCATGGTTGCAATCTGCGTAGGACATGGCTCTCAGTTCGGTGAGCAGCATAGCATAGCATCGCATAGCTTAGCTTAGCACACTTTCCTATCTGGGCGCATATTCCACCCCTCTTTCTAATATCTATCGATCAGCAGCTAACTCGTACAGTGGAAAACGTTCGATTTCTTCGACGTCTCCCAGATCAATACTCCAGATGACGATAGTCGGTCCTTTTTCGAAAACAACGAAATCAGATGTGTCTGCTCTGGATCAGAGAATCTCTTTCTCGGTAGTGACGATGGCGTAGTCCGTATTGTCTCGTCGAGCTTCAAAATCATAAGGACCTTTCAAGCATACGAGGTCGGGTCCATTACGCATATGAAGCAGGTGGAGGGCACTTCCTTACTGGTCACGATATCGGTATTTACATAGAATCCCCGCAGCATGCCTTTGACAAGTCTCTGATGTCTTGTAGGAAGACCTGCCCAATGAGCCTGTCTTGAAAGTGTGGGCCTTGGATAAACCAGTAAAGAAGACTGCCCTTCCAACATGCCAGTCGACCCTGAGCATACAAAATGGTCGGAAGCCGTTTCCGGTATGCAGCTTGGAGCTTTACAGATGAAGTTTCCGCTAACCGTTATCACCAGATATCCGCCTTTGCCGCTCTTGATGATCTTTCCCAAGTGGCCGTCGGTTTCGCGAACGGCTCGGTGACAGTAGTTCGTGGAGACCTGGTACACGATAGAGGGGCGAAGCAGCGAACCGTTCACGAATCCGATGAACCAATAACGGGTGTTGAACTCCGAGAGGAACTGAACAAGCCGACAACCTTGTACATTGCAACTACTGCTCGCATACTGAGACTTGGGATATCAGGTGCTCGACAGCCAGCCAAGACTGTGGCAGACACTGGCTGTGCTGTTGGTTGTATGACAGTTGATAGACAAAATGGAAGTATCGTTGTGGCGAGAGATGAGGCAATTTACTACTATCGTGGAAATGATGATCTTGGGCCTTGCTGTGGATATGACGGTCCTAAAGATTTAGTGGCAATATTTGAGGATTATGTTGCACTGGCATCTCCACCAGCTGCTACCACCACTTCAAACAAATCAAGTACCCTTCGCCGTTTTGGCGGTTCACAAGCCGATGAAATTTTCAACACTTCAACCTTTACTCTACTGGACACAGACTTAAAGTTTGTTGCTCATTCAGAGTCTTTGGTTTCCAAGGTTGTGACTTTATTCATGATATGGGGTGATCTTTTTACATTGAGTCAAGATGGCAAGGTACGGAGTTCAAATGATGGTGTTTTATGGAAGCACCTTTGTATGTTAATAATGTTAATAGATATATCGGTATCATGAAAAGCCATTGCAACAGAGACTCGAGATTTTGTACCAACGAAACCTCTATTTCTTGGCAATTAATTTGGCTAAAAAGTCCGGCATGGATGGAGCTCAGCAAAATCTCATCTATCGGAAATACGGTGACAGTTTGTATCAAAAGGGAGAGTATGACGCAGCGATGCAACAATATCTTAAAGCAATTGACAGCACTGAGCCTTCTCAGGTCATCCGAAAGGTAAATTTCTCTTCGTATTTTATTAGGCTTCTTGCTAACTTTATCAGTTTCTTGATACCCAACGCATACATAATTTGATTGAATACCTGGAACAATTACATGAACATCACAAAGCGACTGCAGACCATACGACACTACTCTTGAACTGCTATGCCAAATTAAAAGATATTGATAAACTAGAAAAGTTTATCAAGTCACCCGGGGATCTCAAGTTTGATCTTGACACAGCGATCTCGATGTGCAGGCAAGGAGGGTACTATGAACAAGCAGTGTACCTTGCAACCAAACATGGAGAGCATGAACTGGTTGTCGACATACTAATCGAAGACTCGAAAAAGTATGCTGAGGCCCTTCAATACATTTGGCGTCTAGAGCCCGAAGTCGTGAGTGCTACCAAACTTTCTAAAGTCTTTTGCTAATTTCTTTGCAGATGTACGTCAATTTGATGAAATACGCACGAGTTCTATTAGAAAATTGTCCCTTGGAAGCAACTCAACTTTTCGTGGAATATTTCACCGGTAAATTCCGGCCTAGATCCGATGCAATCGTCGTCCCTGAGGAAGTTCAACGTTCAGGTGGTTATGCAGCAGGTGCCGTCACTGCTGTGCAGAATCTAAAAGACCTCCTTCCTTTGCCGTATATGAGCACGTCAGCTGTTGCATCACCGCCTACTCAGGGCAATGTTGCTCCCACTTTAAGCGACAACCAAGTGGTAGAGGATATAGAGCAGCTTGCGGTACCCCAATATACGCCACCTCATCCCAGAACTGCCTTTTCCTCGTTTGTTGATCATCCAGACGAATTCATTCTTTTCTTGGAAGCGTGCTTGGAAGAAAAAGATCTTCAAGAGCGCGACAAGATAGACCTGTACACAACTCTGTTTGAGATGTACTTGCACAAGTCGAACGAGAAGAAGGGTGCGGATAGGGAAGAATGGGAGGCTAAAGCCAAGAAGCTTATCGAGGGCAAAGATATCCCAATTGATACCTCTAACGTGCTTTTGCTGTCCCATCTTTCGGACTTCAAAGACGGCACCACTCTTGTCCGTGAACAGGCTGGGCTTCGATTTGACATCTTCCGTTCCTATACATCCGCTAAAGACACTCGTGGTGCCATAAAAGCATTACGAAAATACGGACCCGAGGAACCACAACTATACCCAGCAGCTCTCGCATACTTCACATCTGACCCTCGCGTTCTTGAAGAAGCTGGCGGCGAACTCGATATAGTCCTCAAAAAGATTGACGATGATGGACTCATGGCTCCTCTGCAAGTCATCCAAACTCTATCCACCAACGCCGTCGCTACTATGGGCATGATCAAGCCTTACCTCCAACAAACCATCGAACGCGAACGTCGAGAAATCAGCAACAACCGCAAACTCATCACCTCCTACCGCACGGAAACCATCCAAAAGCGCGAAGAAATCCAGGATCTCACGACGAAGCCGCAGACCTTTAACAACACCCGTTGTTCCTTCTGTGGTAGTCAACTCTCCCTCCCGGCGGTACACTTCATGTGCAAACATAGTTTTCATCAGACGTGTATTAATGTGCAGATTGGGGAGGATGGGGAGGTGGATGGGGATTGCACGGTTTGTAGGAAGGAGAATGATGCTATTCGGGCGTTTGTGAGGAGCCAGGAGGAGATGGGGGATAAGCATGAGTTCTTTTTGGAGGCGGTGAGGGGGAGTGGGGATCGGTTTGGGAGGGTGAGTGAATTTTTTGGGAGGGGGGTTATGCAGGTTCCTTCTATGGAGTAAGTTGGTGGGGTTGAGGGTGAGTAGGTAGTTTGGTACATAGATGAGAAGTATTTTTTTTCTTATCGTGGTTTATATGTGTATTTTGCTTGAGTAACAGGTCGTTTTTGAGGTCGTGTGTTTGTAGTGCTTTATTTGTGGTTTGTTAGTACAGTAGCTTGTCTACACGTAACACATCTCGCGATGAATAGAAAAGGTAACGGTAAACGGGCTAAAGAACTCTCATTTCGTACCATACTTTTCATGTCATCATTATCCTAGATCTCTTCAAAATCTCCTAACCAGTAACCGCATATTCTAGACTAGTCAATACATCATCACTTCTTAACAGATTTCAAGTCCTTGTATTTTGTACAGTAAGTTACAGTCACGTAAGATACTCCTCCTTACCCCTTTGTAGCTTCTGTATTCACTAGATCTACTAAAGTCATAAAGTTTTATTCTTACATTGCAATTGAATTTGATGACCATGCCAGAGAAAAGGGCAGGGGGGATTTTATTATGCTGAAATCGAACGAATGCAAGGCTCTTATAACTACTCTGAGTCTCATACAATTTGCTCGACCATTCATACTTTCTGGAATAATATTAGGGTTAGAATGTTTTTGCGATGTACGGTGGACAATGATATCGATTTGAGGATAGTCGAATGTTGTTTTACGACTTGGATAAAGCATCTTACAGATGATGGGTATAAGGATTTTAGTAGCTGCGCCTCTTTTCTTCTCGGCTGCGGCATTCTTCCTTCCGGCGGCGTAGAAGGTGGGTAAGCGCGGTATCAACAGTTGAAAGCACCCTGTCTACAGAATTTTCTCCTCAGCTTATTCAACAGCTACATAGTTGAACATTGTTTCCTATGCAAATTTGACTTGTGGACACCCTTTTTGATCCGGTTTATGATCTGATGAGTCGAGGTTGTTGATGTTTTTCCTGATCAGGTAACAGACTCGCTTAAGCTAACCTTAAATGCGTCACGACGCTACAAAAGCTCACGATGCTCTATTTTTTCACGACTATAAATTGTACATGCTTAATATTTAACTCAAATCCACCTATTAAATTTTCAGCCCCCAGCACCCCCATCATCCCCCGGTATTTCTATGACTACTTGGCTAGACTCATACCGTGATAAATCGTCTCTATGGCATTTGTGTGGGACGACAGTGAATAGCGCTCAAGAGTAGCAGAAGCTCGAGCAGAATTTGGCAAGACCACCTTTCAGGCCACTCACAGGTCAGCTTTCTATGGGTCCCTAAGTAGCAAAATCCAACTGTGATCTTCAAAGCATAAGAAGACAATCTAAGAAGGCCTTCGCCGCAGACTTCCAGCCACTCAGAGTCTCCAGACAACCCTTAGTACCATCCACTGTCGGCCCACACAAATGCCATAGAGACGATTCATCACGGTAGTAAAATGCTTCATATCGGTCTGGAGCCGGATAAGTACTGCTGCACGAAGATACATGAAAACCCAAATTTGATTCGCAGACATTTCTCCATCCCGAGATGATGCTGACTCTTGTCAAACCACGAACCTGGCAAGTACGGAGAGAAAAGCCCAAAAAGGTGGTTGGGGGCCATAAACTGCAGCATGTAACCCTCTGTCGCCCCAATCACCACACGGCAAAAGCCCAATGAAGCTTCGCTTAGCCCCCACCGCCACGCTTTTCCTACGATCCCTGATAAGCTGGATTAATATCGCAGAGAGATTTAATGGAGGTGGCCCACATCTTTAGTGCGTACTTGAATGCAATCATGTTCACAAAAAGGATTTGAGTTCTCCAATGCGAAAACGTCAGTCGAAAAGCCGATCCTGAATTTTACACTTTAATATTCGCCTGTGATCTCCAGGTAGATTCCTAAAGGCAAAGCAGTTTTACGACTTCACGTTCTTTGGATCCCATAATGATGTTTCACCGCCTATCATTTCTTTTTGTATTCCTTTACGACTCTAGAATTTTGGTAGAGGGCAAGTCTATATCCTGGTGTAATATGAGAGGTTGAATGCTAATATACAAGTGATATCAGGTTCTCGAGTTGCAATATTTCCTAGAGATACCCCTTTTCGCAATTCATCAAGCATCCTCAGCACGAACTCGTCTGATTCGTCTTCAACCATCTTCAATTCAACTGTAGTTTCATCTTCGACATCTTTGAATTTGGATGAAATCAACTACACGAATTATCTAAGCTCCTCGTCTTCACTATGTTCTTCAATGTCAGAAGACAACAGAGCGTATTACGCAACTCACGTTCTTAAAAATTCTAAGATCTGCGAAATGTGGGCAATGTTTAATCTAATGTTAAGTTGGTACTAATTAGATTTAGAGACTGCGCTACTGCAGAGATGCTTTATTTCCCAAAGACCACTTCAAACATGTCTCGCCCTTCGACTATATATGATTCTTATTACAACAAAACATTGTAAGTCCCTGCTCATGAAGTGAATTTATCTATCTTAACCAAGACTCAGTACATCACCGTCAGTGTATATGGCATGGGCCATAGTTACTGCCCATGACGTAGATGTGAGAACAAAATGGATTTCAAGCAACGCCGAAGAACATTCATGGGTGATATCCTATTCTACTACCGACCCATGGATAGCATGGGTATATTGCGATTTTGTGGGTATGTACACGACCACAGAAAGCATAACATCTACGCAAGACAAAGGTATCACATTGACCGATGTCATCCAGCCGCTGGATCTTTCAAAAATGAGCACATTCGATCTCACGCAAGAGTTCATTCCGTACAAATTGAACTATGAAACCTTCTCGGGTGAAATACGCGAGATCAACTCCCTACGACTCGAAGATATACAAAACAACTGCCCCACCACCGTCGACAAGGAAACACCTTCAACTAGGGCTGATGGTTCTGTGGCCAAAGAGGGCGATTCCGATTATAGGAATGTGATGGCTTCCGCCAACTGGTCACACTATCGTTGCAACCCATATATTGTAGTCCGAGAGACTCTTTTCGCCGACTGGTTTTCAGAGCCTTCATGGAGCACCTGTAGTGTCAAATATCGCCAAAGATGGTATGGCATGCCCGATCCACCACATGCACTCCAGTTCGACCCAGGTCTCTTTCCCAGCACCCCGGCAGCACCGATTCCAGCTCCCACTCCCAGTCCTGCTGTTCCAGTCCCATCTGCGAGTCCAGGTCTAGCCACAATCACATCCGCAGTAGGGGGGATAAACCACCCAGTTCATACGAATACACCCATAGTGAAACCAGCTCCACAACCTCAAGGCAATAGCATGCCTTTACCTGGTGCCAATGTGCCCCGCCCTATTGGAGGAGGAAACAATCAACAGCCTGCAGTCTATCCTTCATCTAATGATGGGAAACCAGCAAATGGACTTGATCCGTCAAGCCCTCCACAGCCAGGAAGTGGCTCTCCGTCTGACAATGCAAATCCGGTGGGTAACTCAAATCCCGTCGGCAATACAAATCCTGTAGGCAACGCAAGTCCCGTAGGTAACTCCAATCCAGTCGGCAATGCACATCCTGTAGGCAACGCAAGTCCCGTAGGCAACGCAAGTCCTGTAGGCAACGCAAGTCCTGTAGGCAACGCAAGTCCTGTAGGCAACGCAAGTCCTGTAGGCAACGCAAGTCCTGTAGGCAACGCAAGTCCTGTAGGCAACGCAAGTCCTGTAGGCAACTCAAATCCAGTCGGCATCGCGAATCCAGTGGGCAATGCAAATCCAGCAGGTAACGCAAATCCAGTCGGCAACGCAAACCAAGCAAGCAATCCAAATTCGGAAAGCAATTATCCTCCACCAGGGCAAGGAAGGCCAATTTTGGCAGTTTCGGTAGCAGTCATTGGCACAGAAGTAATATCAGCATTTCCAAAGCCCATTGGAGAAAGTGGAAGTGATGCAGGAGGATTCATTATTCCTGGAGGAGCAACCATCAAGTCGGGTGGAGTAGCTACAGTGCCAATCAACTATCGAGGAGGAGAGTCAGTTGCGTACCCAGCCGACAAAGCAGTAGACTCGGTTGTCTACCCAGTCAACGAAGCAGGAAAGTCGGTCGTGTACTCAGTCAATGAAGCGGGAAGCTTAGTGGTCAGTACCATCGGTACTCAGTCCTCACAAACAATCGCTTTGCCAAACAAGGCCGTAGGAGGTTTTGTCATTCCTGGAGGATCCACAATTAAGCCAGGCGGTCTTCCAATTACACAACCGTCCAATTACAGAGGTGGAGGCGGAGAATCTGCAGTATTCTCAGTCGATGGAGCAGGGAATCTTGTTGTCAGTACGGTGGGTGGTTCAACTGCGACTACTATTACACCACCGACTGTACCAAATGGAGCAGCGATGATTACTCCCCTTTCTGATCCCCATACCATCGTTTACCAAGGTCGGACTCTCGTTTTTGGTGGATCGATAGCGACCATTCCCAGCCTTCCGAATTTTGTCCTCAGTTATGGCCCACTGGGTCTTGTCATCCAGTATTCGAGTGGCGTCGCCGCGACAATTTTTGTACCGGGAGTACAGAATGGCGTTTTCGTCTCATGGACTCCTATCACGGAAACTGGGACAGTGAGAAATCAAGCAGTCCAGGGCTCCTTGAGCAGTAGTGTATTCAACAGTGATGGTTCTCCAATATCTGCGCTCAAACCGACTGTTCCAGGTAAGGTTGTGGCTGGAGACGCATCGTCGAGTCCTAGTTTGCTGGATGGAAGTGGCAGTGGAAAAGTGGGTGCAAAGCATTCCGAGGGAGATGTAACTAATAGCTTGAAGACCTCGCTTGTCGTGGCGATATGTATGATAGAATTTGCCTTGTTACTCTAAAGGAAATATGAGATTTAATGATAATTTATTATGAAAAATATTTTCCCTAGATAGCCTGGCGACTTAGGGGACCTCCTCATGCAAGGTGATCAAGCAAAACATGCCGTAGTGAAGGGGCACGAGAGATTGAGAGACTGAAGTTGAAGACATTTATAGCGAAAAAGAAGATGGTGTGGTTTCTAGCTCACAATACTTTAAGGAGAGCCGAGAGAAGCTTAAAGGATAATAGCCCCCATGACTGGATCAAGATAACCTGGTCATTACTTTGTACAAACTATATAAAAGTCATTACACCAAGCTTCCAGCAGAAGAAAAACAATTATCTTAGGATACCTAGGCCAGCACAAATAAGAATCAAAAATAATCCTAAACTCTCTTTACACCTGTTTTAGTAGTGCGAGGCTTTTAGATTATTTAGGTAATGTTATTCCAAGAGATATGTGTAGAGAGTAATGACCACGTCTCTTACGACTCGGTTATGCTCTAGAAGGCTCACTCAAAGGAACGCCCTTAAACTTATGCAAGAAGAAGGCGTTGAGTAATCTAAATAGGCAGTGGCAAAACATTCGACTGTACAGGCGGGATTGAATCAAAATCGTTCAGATTATTTGTGTTTGACTCCAGACCAAAGGACAAGAAAATAGCGTTTAGTGAACTACTATTCCCTCAAAAAGGCTGTCTCCTCTTAAACACAAATGCACTCCCACACTCTTCGACTCCCCATTACGGATTTTCATTCTTGCAGAAAAAGGACGATATTAGAAGGTTGGTAGGCATACATACCCTTCCTTTCAAACCACAATGATCACATGAATCTAGTCCACAAATCACAAATTACGAGGGCAAGCGGTCGCACTTCATGTAAGATTAGGCTTCGATTCATTAATATCTACCCAGTGATTCGCTTGAACTACAGTCGTGTAGTATGATATTCCTAAGGAAAAAGATGGACCAATAAGCCAAACCAATCATTTTGCAGAAACCTCCAACGCTCAACTTAGCCCAAACATATGGTCAGAATCCCAAACCCATCAAAGCAAAACTGCAGCGATCAAGCCCAACATGCCAGCGACAAACGATCCAGTCTCAAGTGCGACCATGTAGGCAGCGCCTGTGCTAGAGGCAGGGACAGACGTTGACGAATTCGAAGGACCTCCGCTGGTAGCGGTAGGCTTGCCACTTGTCCCAGTCTCACTTCCTGATGTTGTACTGGTTCCATTTGAAGATGGGTCGGTGGAAGTCTTGACCGTCGCGGCTTCGGCTCGATATTGGCTTAGTCCTTGATAGAGAGCGGGTGGGTTGATGACTCCAACCATTCCGTGTTGACAATGTTGTTTCACGGAGCAGTAAAACCAGATCGGGTAACTATTCTCAATAGTGACACTGAAGGTTGTATTCTGGGTTGGGGTGGTCAGCAGGGTCATCTGAGAGTCTTTTGGTATGGGGCAGAGAGTCACTTACTCCATCCTTGTCGCCATCCAGGCTTCCTGAGAAGAAAACGGGCGCTTCGGCAGAACCGTTGGCATGTGTGCATGGTTGATCAAATGGTCCATTGACAACGGAGTGAGGATTGCTGCCGGTATAGAAGTGGAAATTGACGCTATAATCGCTCAGTCAGCTACCTAGATACCCTGAAAGTGAAGTCCATAATCCGCGGCACCAGAAGATTGCGAAAACAATGTCTTCTCCTGGTGAATTAGCCCAGCAAGAAGCCACCGAGTAGTTTCCAAAATTGTGAGAGAGGGTCAGTACATACATATCACCTGGAGCAGCAACAATGGTATCTGGGCCGAACTTGAGAGCTCCCCCCTTTCCAACGTCGACGTTAAGTGTTGCTGCATTGACAAGTACTAAAAGTACGAAGGCGACGATTGCCGTGTGGAAATACATCTTGGTATATTTGATGTTGAAGTGATACGTGAATATTTTCTGCGTGTGTTTTCGAAGCTTTGCGGAACTGTCATAGATCGAAGAGGGGAACGTGAAGGTTGATGGCCAGGCATTTTATATTGTGGAAGCAGGGGGGTTGCTTAGCGAGGCAGGAGCGAGGCAAGACAATTTGGTGAATAATAACAGGGCAGGCTTGCTCAAACGCAAACTACCCCGCCGCAGCCATATTTTACAAATGATTTTACAGATGAAGCGGTAGTCATTCGTCATCATTAGAAAATTCACGACTTCCTCGATTCCTATCAAGTCAGCTTATGACTCCTTTTCAAGGCAACGGCTGCTACTAGGAGGGTGGGACGGTTGGGTAGTGAATTTGCAAAGCCATCATAATAATTGGTTATCTAGGGAAATTTGAAGTGGTTACGGGGAGTAAAGGAGCATGGTTTATCCGGAATCGATGAAATGGTAGCGAATTTGTTATAAATAATACATGTATCTTATAAGCCTCAATATGGACTGTCCACTACAAGATCCCCACACCTCATCCATTACTTTGTTAAAGCGTATCGAAATTCGTCTTTGCGAAGCAGGGAATGTTAGTTAAATGATACTGCAAATTTGTGCTTATGAATAGAGTCGGATTCTGGGGAGTGAGTGGCGCAGAGAAGGTATACAGACAGACACCCTTGAGGTATCACTAACTTCTGGGGGATTTGAGAACATGCAAGATCTTGAGGGGAAGGAAGATTTAAGCGCTATGCTTGGAGTTTAATACTACTACAACGCCCTAGATCTTTTTCACTAATAGGAAAGGTAGGTTTGTTAGGGTTAGAGTTTGGCTAGAGTTAGGGCCAGTAGAATATGATTTTCGGTTCTTTTGTAGTGTATAAGTAGAGGCAGCTGAGTTCCTATGTTTTGTGCTAGACTTGGCCCAGTAAGTTGGCCACTGTTTGATAGATTCCATTTATTCAAGTCCGGTCCGTTCTTCTAAATTACCCAGTACTCGTCAAAAGCTCGGCAAGGCTCGTCATTATGCAGTATGAAGCAGTTTAATCAAGTATAATTATGACATCTCATCAAAAAAAGTACATGAAATATATCTGCGAGGTAAACCATCGAAAAATGAACCTTCATCCACCTATACAAGTAAACGCCACATAAAAGACCATGCTATGCAACGCCCCCACCCAATAGGAACCCATCTAACATTCACGCCCCATCTTGCAATTTGCTCGACGCAACCTCGCGTCGCCGGAACTTAGTCCGGAAGTTGACTTGTCGAACAAACCAAGAATTGATCAACTTCCAGTCTTTCGACGGATCTTCAAAGGTAACCTATAACCATTAGTTGACCGTCCATTTGTACTTTTTTTCAAAGGGGATGCCATACCTCAAACATCTTTAAAAACGAAGGAATCAACTTGTAAATCTCCAGCAGACTAATGTTCTTCCCAATACAAGTCCGAGACCCCATCCCGAAATGCAAAAGTGTCGCTCCCATATCCTTAATTCTTTTTTCTTCTGCTTTCACATCGACTTCTTTCGAAACTTCAACGACGCCTTGACCTGCCACACCACCACCTACAAGCCATCTTTCTGGTCTAAAAGTTTCTACATCCTCCCCAAAAATTTCAGGACGTCGATGAACTACCCAGGCATTACATCCAACGATGGTTCCACCCTTGACGAAAACGCCAGCGATTTCTAGACCTGGCTCGGGCACGACTCTTTCAACTGGTAAACCTGCTGCAGGATGTAGCCGGAAGCTCTCTTTGACACACGCATCCAAATATGGCAGGTCTTGGGACTCAGACCACGTGACGATCCCATTTGGATTTGAGAAAAACCCTTCCTTCTCCCTACCATCTAGTTCGCGGTATAGTGCCGCGAGACAAAGGGGATTTCTGAGGAGATAGTAAAATATCGCCGATAAAGTGATGGCAGTGGTTTCCGATCCGGCGAAAGCCATGGAGACAGCCATAGTAGTGACGAGTGTATCGTTCATAAAATCTGGGCGGGCTTTCTTTGCCTGCATAAATTTGGAGAGAAGATCTGGAAGAGGTGCTTTTGACGCCGTAGACAAGAGTGCAGATGCAGGTTTCGAGTTATCGGTTCCGTATCGTTCGACCATGCGTTGCCTTGCAAATTTTGCGACTGGAAAAGTTGCATCTATGAGTCCGTGTTTGGCAGCCAGTAAGTAGAGGGGGTTTTTGAGAAACAATTTGTCCAGCATTGGGATTTGGCCAATTGGAGCAACATAGTCAAATAACCCCGCGAGGTACTTGATAATCCCGTCAATATCTCGGTTCTCCTCAACAAATCCATGGCGCTTGCTATATGTTATTTCCCCAATGACATCGAAAGCGTAAAACTGAAGCCACTGCGAGAAATTACAAGCTTCCGAAGTCTTGGCGAATATCTTTTCCGTCTGAGACAGGAATAACTCCGTTGTGGAATCAACGAAAGGTTCATATTGAATCAATGTTGACATGGAGAATGCACTATTCACGCATCTTCGGAATTGCGCATGCCAAGACTCTGAGATCGAACTGAATAGAGAAGGTAAGGGATGTCCATTTGACACCGATTGTTGTACAAGGTAGAAATCAGACTAGATTTTGTCAATCGCATAATTAAAGGTATTCACCGGAAATCCTACCTTAATGAACCCTTTGTTGAGACCATATATAGTCTTCAAGGCTTGAGGATTCGAGAAAGATAGACTATTTGGCCCAAGTCGGACAATATCGCCATGCTTGGCGTGTAGTCGAATATGTTCGACTTCTGGTCTCCGCTTGTACACAATCCAAAATCTCCACCAGTCGGTAATGGAAGCAAGAAAAGGGCCAGGATGCTTATTGAGTCCTCTATTGAATCGGTTTTTGACGAAATATGACACTAAAACCACCAGGAGAATGGCAGGCCAATGGCCTAGAAGGGAGCCAACAAGTGAGTCCGACGCCATAATGTGAAGAGCTGCAAGAGCAGGACAGGATTTCTCGAGTTTTCCTTTGGGTGAGTTTTCCACGAAGAAAAAGAGACACAACGAGGTGATATGAGTGTACCAAGAGCTAGGTAATAGTCCGGATAAACGTATATGCAGGGTCTGGGCCGTATATAGAACCGGGAGAATTCGCTTTCTTCGCCAAACCTTCATCAATAATGGATCTTCGATCTGCAAGCGGCCCAAATCTACGAGACGGCACGGCAAAACAAGAGAAGATTGGACGATGTGACACAGAAAGAGCCTTGATATCCACATCGTGTTCCGGGACCTCGTTTCTTAACGTTGCGGATACGCCGCTTGGCAGCCCCATCGGAAAAACTACAGCGTATAGGACAGCTGCCGAATCCTTCAACGAGCGAGTCGAAACCCCCGCTGACACCTGTAAACTCACGTCAACGTGGTGTCCATGCTGCCGGAGCCCGTCTGACAGGGAGAAGGAGGCTTTAAACACCTAGGGACCGCTGTCAACAGCCCATAGGGCACCGGCAGATCGAATAATTCGTCAACACCAGCAAAAGCACTTTGAGTAGAGATGCTGGATGTATAGCGTGGCGTGAACTTTAGAACTGTTACTTTTGTAGCATGTACGGAACCGGTCATGATCATGCATAATGGGCAAATGGATACACCGCCTTCATACCTACCGAAGTAATCAGTGGGATGGGAAACTCAGATCCAAATCTGGAGATTACACTACCCCGCCATTATTGGAGTGAGATTGATGCCTGGCGTGGCGGGGAATCAATAACGATGGCGCCGGACATGAGAGAATTAAAGGACCAAAAACGAGTATCGAGAGATATCAAAAGTATATTACTTGCCGAAGTGCTCTGCGTAATGGTGTGAGGAGGGGTTAATGCATGTGCAAGGAGATCCAGTGGGATGAGGCTTGCCGGCGTTTGAAATGGTGTACACATTTTTGAAGCGAGAAGTGGTGGGAAAAAGACCTCCCGTCGGGAGGCTTGGAATCGTGAATTGAATCGTGAATCGTGACGATGTGGCAGATTCCAGTCACGGGTTTCGGCAAGTGCGAGCTTGTCAACTGCCGAAAACCCCCTTCAACCGTCATAGAAATGCAAAAGAGTCAACCCAAACCACCCCTCTCGAGCCTCTCGCACGGCGCAGAATCCTGAGCATTTTGAGCAATGATCGTGGGAATTTGACTTGGTTACTTGGAACCAAACACCGGCAGATGCGTTGCATGAACTGCTGTAGGTTATAGATTGAGCAGGCCCGGCATGTGTTGGGAAGGGTGTGGCAAGAAACGACCCGATCAATGTAGGACAAGGTGGAAAGGCTTGGACGAGCAACAAGGCGACTTTGGAAACAATATCAAAAGTTGGGTTTCCAATCAATTTTGATTAGTTGTAAGCGAGGTGAGGTTGTATTTTGATATTTCCGCAAAAGGGATCCAAAGGGGTGACCAAAAGGCTTCCAAAGTCAAATTCAACTGCCATGTACCACTTTTGAGAGTTTTCGTTAAGTCCCGAACCCAGATTCCATCTGCGATCATCCTGAGGGATGATTCGGCAAATGTTTCGCAGCTTTGGAGGCCTGACTCACGTGATTTAAACATTCAGGCTATTTCATATTGCGGAACGACTAGGAAAGATATTCAGTCTGCTTTCTCCTATACAGTTTTATAATTGCATCAAACACCTTCCCAAGGCGGTTCAGGAAGCATGCTTTCTTCGATTCAGCGATGTCGTTTCTAGCATTTACTTCGACGGCAGCAGAACTGTAAGCTGGGCTGTTGTTGTGTTATGCATAGGTACCTCGGGAATAAGCTCTGTCATTTTTCTGCAGAAGTCAAATGATTGCATCTCTCGCCCGCGTGTGGCCCGAACCGAGCAGGAAACACATAGTATGATGTTGGTATTTATCTGGTCAAGGTCATATTCGCATGTTGTGATTACACAACGAGCTCTGGTGTAGCTGGCTGCTTGATCGTTTCCATTTTTAAAGTCTAACAACACAATTTTGCTGACCCTTTATATATGTACTGGAGTCCTTGTACGGAAGATTCTGGGTATTTTCCGTTGTGGAAAAGAGTTGTGTCTCAGATGAACTATCGTGGTAAGGAAAATCCATGTTCAGATCGTCGATTATGCAAGATTACTCGTACAGGATCTACCTACATCCACACCCCTAGATATTCAACCTTCCAAAAAAAAACAAATATCAGCTGATAACAACACCTCCTGGAATACTCTCAAGCCCTGAATATCTCGAATCATTATGAATTCTCCAAAATTTGTATGCCAAGCCGGGGAGGTATAACTCACAATTATCACCCTCAACATCCTCCTTCATAGTCTGCTCAATAGTACACTTCATAGCGTCTTCATCCGATTGCCGAAGAAGAACCCCGTCACATCTTTCACCCGCACAACGAGCATCCATAGCACGTTGCAAAGAATCTCCTTTCCAACCAAACATATAGTCACCATGCTGACCATGCCCAGTACTAAACCATCTCGTCAGTTTACTCAATTTCTCACCCCAACTTCACTTTACTAGGGGATGAATCTCAAACTCACGCATCCCCCATCGCATAAACAAAAGGCTGACTCCCATCCTCACTCCAAAGCTCCTTACTATTAAACCGCGCCGTATCCCACATAACCTCATACATCAACTGCGGCAACCTAACCGGGAAACCCTCAGGACACTTCCCTCTCTCCTGCTCTACAGTATACGGACGCGTAACCACAGGATCCGCGTAGGGTTCAAAGGGAATCGTCGCGTAAGCGACGTGACTTTGATGATCTGGCGAATCGAGGTTTTTACCATCCCAACAGGTTGGGAAGGTGACCTGTGTTCGGATTCCACCAGGACAGAAATGGTTGGGTAGATGCGTGGTGTCGTTTCCTGTGCATGGTGCTCCGCCGAAGGGTATGAAGTCTACGCCTTCGAAACAGCGATGGCAGATTCCTCGCGATTCGCCTGATGTGGTGCGCAGTGTGGGGTTTCCTGCTAGCATTCGGAAGCCCTGTGACGTGAGTTAGGAATTCGAGCTGGTGAGTGTTCTTGCTCTATTGAAAAAGTAGGTGGCTCTTGAGAATGTACCAATGTGCGATGGTCAGTCGCCATCCCCCTTGGACCCAAGACAGATCCAACAAGCCCAATCCATAAGCAAGTAATCATACATACCGGACTAAAAGCAGTAACCCCACTAACCCCATCATAAGGCGCAATATAATAAACCGTAATCCCCCCCCTCTGCACCAGATTCCCATTCGTCATCTGCGGCACCCTCCTAAACGTCCCATTCCTCGCCTGATAATAAAGCACCGCCGTCCAATAATTACTGAAATCCTCACTGAAGGTACAACTCGTACACGTCCTCTCCGTCGGCAAATCGTAGACGACCGGTTCCATGGTGGCATTGAAGGCATTCCCCCCCACGATCTGGTGCACGTGGGGACTTCCAATGATGCCTGGGGAAACGAGGGGGTCTACTCGCTCGACTACGAGTTGGGAGCACGCGAAGCGGAGCATGCGTGCTTCTTGTGCGTAAGCGAGAGGGAGGAGGATGAGGGTTGAGAGGTACATTGTGATACTGACGGTCAGCTTTTGGGTGGAATTTTGACGGGGAATAAGGTGCGCAGAAGATCGTACGAGGTAGTAAATGGTGGTCTTTAAGTCAACTTGTTGGGATGGGATCTACGGCTCGTTCCGGGTCAAAGGAAGTGCCTTGATGCAAGATCAATTCCATTTAATCAGTTTATAGTGTTTTCTGGATGTAGGGGTTCGCCACTCTCGAGCGACCTCAGAACCCTAGACGGGGACAAGAATTCCAATTAATGAAGTCTATATTCGATCAGATCCATGGTACTTGGTGATATCGGGTGCAATAAGAGCTTTATTGTTAATACTTCTCGCTGCATCAAAATGAAAATGCGAGATGCCCGATCGGGATGTGGGGCGGCAGTCAATCTTGGAATGAGAACCAATGCATGCATTTGAATGTTTTTGGATGTTATATGTTGTCAGTTAATATGCTGACCCGTGGTTCCCACCACACGGAACCTGCCTACATAAAATAGAACAGGAGTATATAGGAGCATATAACAAAGGAGGGGCATATACTAGGGTCACATAAGCCAGGCTCCTACCCACAGTAGTACTTAGCTCCCTAGTCATCTAAATACAGCTCTTCTAGCACCTGGCCTTCCATATTCCTCGCAACATTATGTGGGGCAAGGATTATCGCTTTAGTATACCAAAGATATCTTGAAGACCGGAAAAGCTAGCGATGGAACTGAGAGAGTTTGGATCGAGTTTAGTTTAAGAAGATGCCCTACCTCAAAAGTCTAGAACAATGAAATTAGGCCGGAAGGTAGAGGGTTTCACGTCTTATAGATTACTTCGATATATTATTTTTCTAAGGTAAGTATCTTATATAATTTATATTAGCGTCTTCAGGTATGCTCACAAACGTCAAGCAAGCACATCATCAACAAGTAGCTAACGAACTAAAAACGATCTCCCCTCCCTCTTCCCATTTAAAGCCAAGCACATAATAACTGATCATCTTTACTAATACGAATACAATATGAATTTCAACATACAGGAGATCTTTCCAATAACAACCTAATACCAAGGGCTAGAGGTCAACCCCACGAAACTCACCGAGTCACCAGTGATATTCTCGATTCCAGCGAATATTGTCCCCCTAACCTTGTGACTTCTAAGTTCTAAAACAGTGATATTTAGATCGAAGGAATAAACTTAGCAGGCCTCCATAGGTTCCTTTTATTCTCATCAGGGAATCACTGAAAACCTATTAAACCCCATATCCTCTCAGCTCCATATATCCCCTTTAGAATACCTACTCCATTCCATTCCTAACTCCCTCTCCCTCTCTCCCTCCAAACCACCCCCCTAAAACAACATCACAACATCACAAACCCCATACAACCACCTACCATACCCCATACCCCATACCCCATCCCCATCCCCATACAACCATTCACCCCCCCACCCCT